GAATTATTTTGTGGCTCTTTTCTGCAACTCTCCAGTTTTGCAATGTGCAGTAATCCAGTTCTGATTCTACTAACAGTATATGCAAAAGTAAAGTCACCTCCCTGTTCCTATTTTCTACGCCCTTGTTTATACATCTACAGATCATATTATCCTTTTAAGTCTCAGGATCAGACTGGGAACTGATGTTCAGTGGGTTGTGCCTGGATTTCCTTTCAGAGCCACAGCTTCCAGAATACAAGTCTGGCTTCCGTCCCTGCTCGTAGATACGTGATATTGCAGGTAGCTACACCAAAATGAACTTTATTTAAATAAGACCAGTTTACTCAGTCTCTGTAGCCGTCTTGCCCTTGTCAGAATTTGTTTCTCCACCAATCCTTTACTTCTAGATCATTTACAAATAAGTTGAAGAATATCAGTACTGGCACAAGTCCCAGCTGAAGCCCCTTCTGACCCTTTCCAGAAATACACCCATTCAGTGATTTCTGAATCACAACTACTAATGAAGATAAGTTTAGGGGAATATTTCTGCAATGCTGAGATTTATTAAAGGTTAGCATCACAAGCATGCCACAAGTCTCCCGAGAGAATGATTTCAGGAGTAACTTATCTGGCTCTGCCATTTTCAAATTTTAACGAAGAGAAAAAGTTGGCTAACTCTAGCCTCCCATAGCAAATAGTCTGAAAACTGGCTGAAACAGTATTTTATTGTCTTCATTTGATGTCAGTCAATATTCTTTCCAAAAGATTGAGCATTTCTGCCCTTCCACATTCTTATCAGCTTTTTACCATCACCATTTAGTGAACATTTCCAGTGCCATTACTATGCTTTCTTTTCCTCTCAATATACTTGAAAATATCTTCCCTACAGTTGCCATGGATTACTCCAGGTTATCCTGGCTTCCTTTGTTATTAACTCCAATTTATATCAATCATTAATTGTTCCCAACTTCCTGCATTTCCTTTTATATTGCTTTTTTTTTTTTTTTTCCTTAATTCTAATTCCTACTTTTACTCCACCAGTGAACTCTGGTAGGCTTTTGGCCAAAAGCAGCTACTTCTTGCCTGAGAGTCATGACATTTTTCATCCTATTTCCACTCATATCTTTTCCTATCTACATTTTTCTTTCCCTTTGCTTCTGACACACCTTTCCTCCTGCATTGTTTTTTAACAGTGCCATGTCAGTGTTCCTTATCTCCATATCAAAGTGATCTGAGTCAGTAATCTATAACAAACTTTCAGAGTCAAGTTACTGCTTTTCTGTACTGTAGTTTCAAAGCACCAAAGAACTGAATTTTCCATCCCCTATTTTGCTTCTTCCCAAGCTTTCCATTTTACATCAGTACTTTAGGCTTTCTCCCATCCACTTCCTTTATCCAACGTAGCATTACCTGACCATGGTCACAGTAAAATCATCCTTCTCCTTCTGTTTTCACTTTCCCTGTAATGCCAATGCCTATCAAGTGACTATTAGTTCATATCTACACAACATTAGGTCACCAAGTGAAAATGCTGTAGGCATGCTAGGAATTATTGCTATTTACTTTGCCATTCCAAAGCACATGTAAAACTGCCACAACTCTAGTTCCTGAAATGCTATCGCCCAGGGTGCTGAAGTCCATGCAGCAGAAAGGACCGCACTGGCAGTCTGCCAGCAGCTGAAAGGCTACATCTAATTGTGCATAAAGTTGAGCAGATTGTCTGCTTAGACTCGGGCAAACAAGCTTATCTTTAATGCAGACATATGGCCAGCAAAACCTACAGATCCCAGCATGCAACATTCTGACCAGCTGGCCATTTGGATCAGAATGAAGCATTACATCAGTGGGGTGACAGAAGATCAGTATCGCAACCCCTCCATGTTCAAAAATCAGGAGGCAGGCCACTCACATTCATGAGTTGGGCTCAGAGTGCTGGAGATTTTAAAGGGGATAAACCAATTGAATTTGCTTTTGAGACAAGGTTCACATCCTCCCACTTTTCTCTACAATCATTAAAAAAATGTATTTTTTTAAAAAAGCTAAGTCACAGTCACTTGCCTCTGGGAGCTGAGATACCAAGAAAAAACAGACTCACAGTACGGTTAGGGGAACAGCAGCAACATAATCTGAACTCTTAACATGTACAGATAACCTGATAGATAGACACACAGACAGAATCTGGAACCTGCAATCACCACACATATCACTGGTAAAGATAAGGGTGGCAGGCAGTTTTGTTACAAAACTCCAGGTTTTTATATCTTGCATGAAACTCTCTGCTCTTACCATTGTTAGCTTTATTTAACCCAGTTTTAACTTCCTTTCTTCCCACCTCTCAGCTGTCATATAAAATCTCTCTGCCTCCAACTTTCCATTCTGAAAGACACCTCTGCTCTCCTATAATGACACACCATACACTTTATGTCAGTTACCCCCTTGACAGCCATCACAGATGCACAGTCTCTAATTAATAAAGAAAACTATTCCAACAGAGTTGTTACTTTTAGACAGTAAAAAGCCCTTAATCTCTCTGTCCTGTTCTTTAGGTCTTTTAAGATGCTTGGGAAATTCTAGCCAATGCAGGCTGGGAGCATCACTCAGATGTCACTCAGCCCCAGTCTGCTTTTTGTGTTTGTTGAGGGCAGCGACAAGTCTAGCTTCAGTCACAATTCTAGATGCAGTGGATTTGGGAAATTCTACTTCTGCTCTGACTATAACTGTTCAAGAGAGGATCTAACCAGGAAAGGCAAGAAAATCTTCAGGTCAAAATGAGGGGATTTGCCAGAGCTATGAACATGTCAGGAAACAGAAAAAGCACTGTCTGCTCTGGGTCAGGACCAACATGCACTGGCAGAGTTGAAGGAAGGTGATCCAAGAATCAGAGTTTCAGTGCTTTGCAACCAGGAGTGAGTGACTTTGGCAGAGCCATACTGATGAAATCAGCAGAAAGCCTGGATCTGCCCTCTGTTCTTTTTTTCCCCTCACATTTTCACAAGCAACCAGTACTATAGGCAACCTGAATGCTTGTTAAAGGACAATGGCTTGATCTTTCTTTAATGTCAGAGCTTCTATCTGCGTGTGATAGAGTGCAATGAGAGAAGCTACATGCCTTGCTGATCCTGAAGCCAGTTTCTGTCTTATTTCCTTCGCCTGACAAGCTCATTCCATCAATCTCCAGGTTCAGTCCAAAAGAGAGCAGGACAATACAGTCAGAGCTGCACAGGCATCATGATGAATCTTCTCTTCTTCCATTAAGAAGCACTTAGCTGCACTTGAGCTCAGGTAGTCTTTGAGAGGTGACTTTTTTAGAGGAGACTGAGATCTGCACTAACAGCAACAACCTCCCAGGAAGGGGGAAAAGCTTCGTGCTTACACAGACCTCAGGTTGCCACAAGAAGACAAACATGATAGTGCCACAGCTGAGCCCCACTTTGGATCAGCCTCTGGGTAAAATACAGCTACAAGTCAAATTTAAAGACTCCCACAAAACTGCCATGTTCATGTCTAACAGACAGCATGACCTGCCAGTTGCCTGGCCCCTTGAACTAGGTGAGAAATGCTGCAGCATGAGATCTGTAGTCTTTCCAAGGTGACATTTTCCATCACAGCTGATGGGGCGCTAAAACCAGCTCTGTGATGCAAATTATCCTTCAGACTCTTAACCCTTGGAGCCTGTTTTCTAGTGGAAACATGGAAAGCTTTGCAGATTTATGTCCTACTGCAGCGGCTCTGTAGTTTCAGGCCTCACAAAATTAAAAAGTCTCCCTCTCACAAACCCTAGAAAATAAGAGGGGGAAAATTGCAAACGGTAGCAATAACTGATCATAGGAAACCGCAGATAAAATTTTCTTAGGAGGTATCTAGGACCTAACCCCCTTTGCAATATTCCTTTTTGAGTCAAAAGGGCCAACTCAATGAGCCAGTGTATGTAAAAAATGTGCAGTCTCTCCAGACTACACCTCTGGAACATGACTGCAGCAAGGACATTCCCAGTAAGTTGAACAATGGTTTAGGCTTTAGCACTGTTTATGCTCTGAATAGTCAAAAATTTTCAGAATTCAGGCAGGAGCTCACTAGGTTCATTCTCAGTTCTTTTTCTGCCAAAGGAAAGATTAGGATGGATAGATAGATATGAGACAAAGTCTGAAAAGCTATTTACAGCACTGGCAATTCACTGTCCTTCCAGCCAATTCCATCTGGCACAGGACACCTACTATCCTATCTTGCTACTTCAGGACAGGAATAAAATAGCAAAACTAAGTTCTGATTGTGTCCCAAGAATCTTTCTAGACAGCAGGATGTGGAAACAGTTGGCTCAATCTGAAAAATGCAGCAAAACAGCAAAAAGCAGTTAGAAGCAAATAACAAGTCATTCCCATCTCTTTAGAGAAATATCCTGCCAGAGAAATCCCTGGAAGAAGCTTTAAATATACTTAACAGCTGTCCAGCAGAACCACAGAGATGTGAACTGAAGATACATTCCAGTATGCACATCTTCCTTTCTACTTCCATAGTGATTAATCCCACTAGGATACAGATTATTCCACGCTACAGCATTTCTAACACAGTTTATCAGAGGAAAGTTTGAATTCAGCCTTTCAGAGATACCAGCTTAGTGTTAATGAGAGCCCATTTAGATAAAGAAGGCAATACTGGGTGTGAAATACTTCAAACCACATAAATTCCCTCTATCTGGTGGAGTTATCTCTCCTGGTAGGGACACCAGCTGTCACAGGCTTTACAGAAGTCAGGAGGGAATATGGCACTCAGGTAGAGGTCAGAAGACCTGTGGTGAGGATGTGGTACACTTACATCTTACCATTGTAAGCATTTATAATTGCTTAAAAAAAAAAGGAACTAATTACAATATTGAGTAAAGGATCAAGTTCCTTTACAGATTTGCAGGAGCTTCTCCCAAGCATACGAACTCCACAATAACCCACACCTTGTAACCTCGGTGTTTCCCGGGCTACTCAGACTGCCTTTCCTTTCATTGCATCTCTTGATACTTCTACCTTTACCTTTTGGGATATCATGCTCCAGAGAGTCTAGAAAGTCAGTGGATGGGTCCAGGTCAGCCTTTTCCAGCAGGGTTTTATTCTTCAGGTTAACAGGCTCAGTGAAATGGAAATAGGAACTCAACTTTTTTGCTTCTGTCAAAGACAGACCTGCAAACAGCCGTCGGTGACCATTAATACAGAAGCTGGGCTAACATACATTATACTATCAAATGCCATACTCTTTCTCTAACCCTCACAGCATAATACAGAATCACAATCTTTTCTCCAGTAGACTCCAAAGAAAGAAGAACAAAGGCCTGCCAGAAAGGAGTGGCTGTACTCCCTGATGCTACTCATGGCAGACCATGCTAACGGCAGCCCCAGGTAAGCAATGGGCACTGAGTTGAGACCAACTCTCTACGCCCATTTGGTTACGTCCTGTATCTAGATGAAGAATTCACCGCAGCTATAATTGCTAAACACTGGCATAAGCTATACACAGACAAATGAAACTATAGGTTTAATGACTCAGAGCCATTACTGACTTCCCTCCCACCTTCCAGAGTTGAATCATGCACCTGAACATTAGCGGCATTGGATTCTCTCCTCCCTGTTTATCTTACCCAAGGAAAAAATAAACCTGAAATCAAAACATCAGCTAGAGAAAAAGTCATCTTAATTTACAGCCTTTATGATCAAAGCACAGTTGATCCTGATAAAGACAATGAGAGTTTACCTTCAAAGTTTCTGTTTTCATGCACAGACCCAAGAGGAGTCTTCACAAATGCCCCCCGGGGGATGATACCAACTGCTCTGTCTATCTGTTCTATCGTAGCTACGAGGCGGGCTTCCTCCTTGATCATGGGCTTTAAAGAAAAACAGGCAAATTTTAAAGGCAGGCCTTTCCTCGTTGTCATTTCTGAAAATAAACTCAAAGTGACGAGAGAAACCACAACAGATTCATCAGCTTGAAGCCCAATGGCACTAAGAGGAAGACCACAAATCGAACATTCTTTTCATAAGAATGTGGCTAGGAGCAGACAGTCTAGACACAGCAGAGAGTGAACTGTCCCTCCCTTCATCCATATTTTCCTCTCTCAATCAAGCTACTTACGATTTGTCTATTCAGTTACAAAGAATGGGACCTGCAGTTCTTATATAAAGCTTCAGACACGGTGGTGAGGATCTGTACCAATCGTGCATAATAAAACATAAAGGAGAAGGAATATTTCTGAGCTGTATCTATCTTCAGGAGTAACTGAAGTAAGAGTTCAATCAAGAAGCCATTGCTACACAACAACAGCAAAGAGGAAATTGTGTGTATTCTGCCTGAACACAGGCTCGGGCTGCTTATTACAAACAAGGAGGAGGAGCCACCATCTGTCCAGCACTAGGGCACAACGGTAGTGAAGCGAGTTCAAAAGTGTTTTGCTGTATTTACCTCCTTACCATCTTCAAACAATCTTTCAGCATCTTCTGCATTTATCTCAGTGTACTCATACTCAAAAGAAGGATCCCCCTGGAAACGGCCCGTCAGCTGCTCAGCCCGCGCAACCATCTCCTTGGTCACTGGTGGCAGAAGGCTCCACTCCACGCAGTTCGAGCTGCCAGCGACAAGCACGACACAGGCCCGAGCCCGTTGAAGAACGGCGCTCGATGCAGCCTTGCCAGGCCCCTCAGGGCACAGCGAGACCCCCAACAGGAGAGCTGGGCAACACACCCTGGCTCCTCAGCCCCCTCTCTTCTCCCCCTAGCCCCACACAGGCCTCCTCGGTCCCACCTCCCCAGGGAGGCACCCGTCCGCTGCACAG